TATTCCTTCTCCTTTAGTTCTTTTAGAGTTGGTATAGATTTCTCTTGGCCCTGGTTTGTAGAAGATTTTACTTTAATTTTCATCTTCTTTTTCTTTCTAGAGATCTTGAATAGTGTAGTGGTGGTAGTCATGACTTTCTTTCCCTTAGAGGTGTAGGAGGTCTTAGAGTCATTCTTAAATTCCTTCTTACTTTTCTTCTTTCCATGAGGATTACTTGGTTGAAGATTCCCAATTTTTCTATCTAGATCTCCAAGTTATGAACTCAAGTAGCCAATTCTTCAAAGGTAGTAGGCATGTTTTCGTTGAGGTTGTAGAGTAGCCCCTAATGCATCCCTTGGACACACATGTCTATGGTAGAGGCTTGGCTAATTTGTTCCTTGCATTGAATGGCGAGATATTTCTATTGCTCAATGCAAATCAAGTTGGTCCGTTGGACGTGTGAAGTAGAACCGAATGAGGAATTCTCATTCAAGTTGGTCCCAATTGTCATTGTTGGAACTAGGTTGGAAGCCAATGTAAATCGGTTGTTGTAGACTTAGGGAGGAAACAAATGCTTCACCATTTGGTTGTTGTAGGTTCTCATGTTGTTACAAGTTTCAAAAAAGTGTGTTATGTGCTGCTTCGGGTTGCCCTTTCCGTCAAATAGTTGGAACTTGGGAAGTTGGTAGCCAATTGGCATGCATATCTCACTAATACAATGAGTGCATGGAGGAGGTGACAAATACTGAGCCCTCATGGTGTCAATGATTATATATTTTAGCTTCTACATGGTTAGAGAGGTGACAAATACTTAAGTGTTGTCCCACATCATGTTCTATACAGTGACACGATCTTGCAATCTTGCTCTTCTTGTTGCTACTTCCACTGCTCTTGGTAGTTTGGAGTTATTGGAGGAGTGAATCTAGGAAGGCAATTTGGAGATTTTTCTCAGCATTAGAGTTCTAAAAGCTAGGGGTGGCCATGAGCTAAGCTCTTCACGAGCTACTTAAGCTCGGCTCATGAAAATCTCAGCTCGGCTCGGCTCGGTTTTAACCGAGCTTCGAACGCAATTTATAGGCTCATTTATTAATCGAGCCGAGATCGAGCATAATAAAGCTTGACTCATGAGGCTCGCGAGTCGAGCTCAAATAACTACGTAATAATAATAATAATAATAATAATAATAATAATAATAATAATAATAATAATAATAATAATAATAATAAATAATATATATATAATAAAAATATTTTATATATAATAATAACTAATTATTATAATATTTTATATATATAATTTTTTTTTTATTTTTATAAAATATTTTTTCTCAGGTCGAGATCGAGCTTTTTACTACCTTGGTGAGCCGATCCGAATAGAGTCGAGATCGAATAGCTAGCTATTCGGCTCGGCTCAGCTCGAATCCACCCCTACTTAAGGCTATCAATGGCATCAACCATCTTTTGGAGTTATTCTTCCATCATCATGGCTTCTGTCATCATCGCTAGAGGTTGAGTAGGAATGGTGTATGATGAAGAGGAGTGAGATTCTATCCTTGACCTAGTGCTAGATTGATCCTATGGGACAAAGTGCTCATTTTTCTTCAAATCAAAGTATGAAGGGCTAAAAGAGCTTTTCTTTTGCAAAACAACCATCTTGGTACTTTTATCTAGTTGAAAACTCCATTGGAGACGATAGTTGAACCTTCTTGGATTTTTTCACGGCACGTATGATAGAAAGAACTAAAAGCACCAGAGGACTTGTTAAAGGAATTTGTTGTTTTCTTGGTATCTGTTGGATGATTATTGTAGTTGTTGACTCAAAAGATGAGAGGAAGAAAGTGTTCCACAAGGCATGCTAGAAATTTGTTCACAAAAAAATCATGTTTTTAATTAATACAAAATATGGAAACAAACTACAAAATAAATTTGTAATAAAGAAAAATAGAATGTGAGTGAGCTCTCTTTGATTCTACTCAATGACGTGAGCAACTTTTGATTAACGGTCGAATTCAGTGGAGATGATGATCATTGGTCTGTTTTTTGTGCTTCTCAAAGTGTTGGTGTAGAATCTTCAATTTGGTGTTAGATTTTGAAGAGTTGATATAGATTTCTGTACTCCGGGTTTCACACTTGATCGACTATGGAGAATGTATTTCTAAGAAGGGTCTTTATATGCAATGACTTGATCTTCTTGGAAGAGTTTGAATCCAAGTGTAAAGTAGAGAACTAAGAAGTTTTTTTCCTTCTTCCTTTTCCTCTTGATGTTGAAGTGGATTTGAAGTTTGTAAGAGGTTGTGGTTGCTTACAATTCTCAAATGTTGATATAAGTGAATGAGAACTTCTCAAATGTGTAAGTGTGATTGTAAAAGGAGATAATCTTTCTCCTTAGGCAAGGTCATTTATAGCTTAGAATTAGGTTTACCATTTTAGCCCACTTTGCTAACCAATCCCATGTAAATTGAGTGTTAGGTTAGGATTTGCTCCTAAACATGCTCCATTATATAGGATTTAATGGTTTTGCCAAAGGAACCATCCTATTACAGTAGGACATAGACCTAATTGGACTTTGCACACTTGGATTCTTGGGCCATAGTCATAATTATGTAAACTTGGGTTTTGGGCCGATGGAGGCTTATATTAACTTGGGAGGTTGTCATATAAATTAAGCCCACTTATTTGGCTTAGAAGTTCAAATATCTACAATCATATCCTTTGTTAAGTTATTAGTGCTTAAATCATTTCTTATCACTTCCACCCAAGTCCTATCCATCTATCCTAGGCTATTCTAACTCCTTCAATTCGTAATAGAAAACTTTTTCTAATAGATACTGTAGATGGTCATCTATGCACATACCAAACCATCTCAATCTACTTTCTCTCATTTATCACCCATTGAAACTACTCCTTGGTTCCTTCATATGATAAATTCAATAACAGAATTACCATATACTAGATTTTTTAACCTTTCAAGCACCAGAGTTAATAGCTTTCTAGATTAATTACTAAATTCATTAACTTCTCTCATAAATCAGTTTTACCAACTTAATCTTCAAATATCAACCACAAGATAACTAGATCACCAATCACCAAATACTACTATACTAGTTTAATTATTAGAACAATGGCTATCAAATTACCTAACTTATTACTTGCTAGCTAGAGTTCTATATTACCACCTAGTTTATCAAACTTATCAAATTACCAAACTATAGTTTATCAGGTTTCTAAATATTGGACTTGGGTTGATAACTCCAAAGTTTGCTGTCTAAAAAGTCAAAAAGATATTTTTGTTTGAAATCTAAAATGTGGTAGATACACTTTTCCTTTAAAAATATAAGTGTTTATGCTGGGGTTCTTCCAACATCTAATAACTACCTTTTTTACTATTTTGCCCCTTGGGGTCTTCTTCACCGAATCCAAACCTCAAATCACATGCCCAAGCTACTAAACAACTTAGTCATCCACACACATACTCTCTCTCTCTCCCCTCCTCCTCCTTCTCTTTCTCCTCTCTCTCTTTCCCCCATTTTCCTTCTCCTTATTCCTCTCTCTCTCCCTTCCTATCAATCTTCCTTGGTCTCCTTCTTAGTTGTCGAAATACAACAAAACCACAATTCCTCTTCAACCTCCAAATGTCACAAAAACACCAGTATCACCTACAGTGCTCATCGGAGAACACGTGTTGACTTCCACTGTCTTTGGTTTGAAGGAAAAAGTGGAGAAAGGAAGGGAAACCTATACAGTGTCTCCTCCTCCACTTTTTCCTTCAAACCAAACCAAACATAGCTATTATTTAACAGGAAAGAATTGGAATTGGTTTAAAAGAATGGGTAACATATATGGGTCATTTTAAAAAGTTTTAGGGGCATTTAAAACTTTGGCTAGACTCTAAAATGCACCTGGCCGCATTGATTAGACCATGTCTTACCATTTTAAATTTATTTGATCTCATTATAGTTTGTGTTTAAACCTAAAAACAAATATATCACGTCTGAAACGCAAATTTTCTAAAAAGAGTTGTTAATGTAATATTGTAACCACTGTGGGAGTATAAAAAAAAACACCACCTTGTTTATCTTTTATTATCAAATTAGTATGTCTATTAATATCGTCACTAGATTTATCGATTTTCTTGATAATTTATCAACTTTTTAACTGCTAGATGTTTTCCGTCTCCTCCCCATCTTTAGCAAGGCAAGGGTAGTTTAGGGCTGTAAAAAATATTTGAAAACTTACTGGAATGTCAGTGTATACGATTAACCAGGGTGGGGAAAAAAGTACAGAAGCTAAGTGTCGCGCTTCCCAAAGCACAGGGATTCGCTGTAATCTACCCAAACTAAAACCAAAAMGGCTACCATCGGAAATGACAAAACAAAACAAACAAACGTGATTAGTTATGAGTAGAGAGTGATTGCTATTATCCATTATTACCAAATCATAGCGACTTTTGGTTGGACAGAGAGAAATACGAGAATTGAAGCCAATAGTGTAAAGAAAATAGTTATATTTCTCCATCAAAACAGGTTGCCATTCGGCATTCTGCACCGAGTTGACACCACTGCCGGAGGTTCAGATTTCGACCATATCCCCTTCTCCCTGTTCTCCATGGTAATTCTTTCCCACTTTCATAATGATAATTTGTTAAATAGCAACACATCAAATCCTCACAAAAAGTACAAAACTCATCAATGAAGAACAAAGCAAACCTATAATTCTCATAAAGCAAACTCTGAATTTCTACAGTACTTCATCTTTTTTCCTCTCTCCAACATCTCTTGAATAACAAAACCACCTGGGTTACTGGGTACCACTTAGCAGTACATTTTAGAAAAGAAAAAGAAAAAGAAGTGGAAGAAATGAAGCCACAGGCTGATGGCGAGGACAAATCGAACTAATTATGCAGAAGACAAGGACGGCGAGGACGGCAGGGACGATGAAGATGCATGGTAATTAGTGTGACCGGAGCGCTATCATCACCAGAACGACGATGAGGTGGTGGTGCTGGTGCTTGCTTGTTGCTAGCTATCTGTTGGAGATTGGATTTGGGCCACTGGGGACTTCATGGGCGCTTGCTTCAAATTTTCTACCAGTAGAAGTAGATGATGAGTAAGTGTGGGTTTTCTCTGTCTGTTGAGGATGTGCCTTGACAGTGGACTGAGGAGTACTCCAGGACAACTCCAAAGATAGCTTTTCAGTAGAAAAAGATGTGGCCATGGACATTCTCAACTGGTCTGCAGGACGAACCAGCAGGAGAAGAATCATGAAGAGAAGACCAAGAAAAAGAAAAACAGCTTGTGATGATTTAGATGGAATTCCATTTATTGTTGTTGCTGCTGCCATGCAATCGAGATTCAAGAAGTAGAACAAACCACCCCCTAGAGAACTCAATAAAAGAGATCAAAATCCATGAACCAGTAGCAGCACTACCAATAATATGCAAAAGAAGGAAGAAATTCAGCAGCAGCTTCAACTTCCAACTTTCAAGTAAAGAAGATGGAAAGGAAGTCTTGAAATTCGGACCACATTTGTTGATGATTGGAACCAACTCCATAACCTAGGCAACGAGGACGTATTTATGGGAGGTATAGAACCCAAATGTTAAGTTACTACAATACCCTTCTTCTTTTGATGAAAATCACAAGAACATTGCAATGATTCATTCTGTTGTTTAGGCTGTGTTTTGGTTGCAGTGCAAATTTGAACAAGATACATTTTGCATTTGATTTAATTTTGCATATGTCTGTTTTGTAAATATGATTTGTGGTTGTACCTCATACAAATTTCATACATTTTGGCAAGGATTTTAAAATCGAACTGAACAACGAATCGGTTAGGGGTTCGGTTCCTGGATGGCATATTCTGACAAAAAATTAAAAAATAAAAAACATCCAAAACCGTTGGATGGTTCGAACTGTTTGAACGATTTGACTACCCAGATCAACGGTTTTTGGCAAAATAACGATTCTGGGATAAAACGGAACCGATCACTTAACTGGTTCCCGGTTTTTCCGATTTAACCATCCAGCCCGATCTGGTTTTGAAAACCATGCATTTTGAAATATTTGTTGTGTAGTAAAATTACTCCCAATGAATAATTAACCCTCCTCATACCTCTCTTTTCTTGTATAAAAGGTAACATCTCATCATTTTACTATTCACAAACAACAATACAAAGTCAAATATGAAGAAAAATAAATCAGAATTTACACTCCCATGCATATACACTTACTGTTCCTCTTATTTTCTCTACTAAAATTTTAATTAAAGAACTTGGATTTGTTGATCCAGTGAACAATACATTACTAATTCATTGGAGAATTATGGTTTGTTCAATTAAAATTTAGTAATTTAGTAAGGTTGTTCAAATTTGGTTATTGAACCAAACCAAATAATTAAGGCCTCATTTGGCGTGTCTTTTTATACGGGCTGTTGGCTTTTTAGAAGCCTGGCATCCCATGTTTTGGTCTTTTCTTGTTTGGTTAGGAAAAAATCTAGCTACTGAAAACCATAGTCCTGAAAAGACGTGAAAAGCCCATTTCAGACTAATCAAATGGCCCCTAAACTAATTCGGTTTGATTTATTTGGTTTTGGTTTGGGTAATCATTTTTTTTTTTATTTTAATTCAATCAGACAAAACTTTTAACTCAAACAAAACTGAAAACCAAATAATAACTATTAATATATAAATATATATTCATATATATAAACATATAAAAATAAGTATAGTATATTAATTAATATATCATAATGTTTAGGGATGTTCTCTGTCGTCACTTTCTTATGTATTGTAAACAAATGTTTAGGTTTTCTGTCTTTAATTTTTTGGTACTTGATCAATTGTATTGTAAACAAATGTACTGTATTTTGGTCTTTGAAATGAGTTCATCAATTAAGTACCTAGGATATTAGGCTAAAAAGAATATGTCACTTTAATTTTGGGCTTAGAATGTATTTTAAATTGCTCGTTTTAGGTCCATAATTCCAGAAATAATGAATGTGGGCTTATGTATTGGGCTTGGGTGTTAAAAGCCTAAAAAGTGCCCAAACTGACTCGAAATCGAACCAAGCTGATTTTAACAAGGTTTTTAAAACTGACCCAGACAATAAACCAGTCAGTGGTCGGTTCTTGGGTCGAATGGTCCGACCGTTTGAATCCAATGGACGGCCCATTCCGTCATAAAATAAAAAATTAAAAGAAATAAAAATCACCCAAACTGTTTAACGGTTCGAATGGTTTGATCGCTTTGGTCAGCGGTTTGCTGACCAAATCAATGGTTTTGGGAGAAATAACGGTTTTGGGGTAAAATGGAACCGATCACCTGATAGGTTTCCGATTTTTCCGGTTTGGTTTTGAAAGTCATGGATTTTAATTTCGATTCATGAAAATGATAAACCTAAAACGTTAATAGGTTTCAAATTCTATCGAAACCGAATGAACATTACCTGATCTCCTGCCCACAAGAACTCTATTCACACCTATCCACGAAACACTACCTCTATGCATTGAAAATATTTTCTCGTATATAATAACATGTAAAAGGATGAGATGTTCCCATGTGGCTGCGATGTCATGCGGGTAGGTAGGTATGAATAGAGTTGTCATGGGTAGGAAATTCAGACTCATTTTTAGGACAATCCAAGATGTTTCCAGTTAGTGCTCATGTTTGTGTTTTGTCTAGTTTTAGGACAATCCAAGATGTTTTAGGACAATCTAGATACGTCAAAACAGAACCAGTGTTCCATAGACCATAGGCCTATTACAATAATACTACATGGTTTCAAAACCAGCAAAATAGCACTCATCTTTATTTTTTTCAACCAAACACAGTGGCTTATTGCTGCAAGTACGTTTCATGCAATATTTCCAATTTATTTCATTAATCGGTAGGGCAGGTTTTGGGATGGTTTTGTAAATTCCAAACCCTTTGCGCCACCATAAACCTCCCAAACCATATTTTACTCCAAATTTACAGCATGTTAGAGTTTCAAAATCTAAACCTTCCATATATATGAAAATGCAAAACCCTCTTCTTCAACTTTATTGAATTTATGGAAAGTACGAACAGGTTTAATACAAATTTCTGAATTCCCCTACAAGTCTATAAATATTTAAAAGGTCAAAAATCCACATTCTATGCATTTATACCCGTCCATAAATTTGCATCAATTTCAAACTGGCACCTACTCCAACTGTACTTTGAGCCTATAAATTCTGACCCTGTGCTGAACAGTCATTCTCCCTTGAATTTATCGGGTCAGACTGGTTGTCCCAAGAACCGAATGGTTTGGTTTTGGATATAAAATTACAGATTCTATAATGTCTAGGTTGATTCCAGGTTCTTTATATTTCTTATCAGATCAGGAAGAATTCTATCTGAATCCGGCCCAAACCCGACCCGTTGACAGCCATGATGGAACAGATCCACAACCCACCTCTAATAAAATTAGTAGAGTTGGTAAAAATAACTTATATTAGTAAAAGTTAGTAAAATTAATAAAGTTATTAAAATTTTGTTATTTTACTTAAGCATTAAACAAGCATCAATATTTCCAATAACTAAATAATTTTCAATTATTTTAAAGAATAGGGATATTTTAATAAATTCAATATACGGATATGACAGGGCAGGGGTTTAACCAAAATCTATACCCTACCCGTACCTATTCAACTAAAATCCAATCCATTTTTCAACTAAAAAATTTACCATCGATCCCTATATTCACTGGCATGCTCGTGAATCCTGCAACAAATGAAACAATTAATAGTCCCTATTCATGGCTCAAAAAAAATGAACAAAAAATAAGAGAAAAGATTAAAATAATAGTAAAATAAAGAAATAAGCACAAAGCATCCTACTTTCTGTCACTGTTCCTCTCCTTGTGAAAGGCCACAGACATGTCTCCATGTTAGGTTGCATGGGTCCCACTAATATGGTGAATTGATCAAGAGAGAGATTGTACGTTTAGGGTGTTTGAACATTAAAGGTCCCTCGCAGATTTTTGCCTTATCTTTTCAACCTTCCCACCGGTGAAAGCTTGTTACACCAGAGTTTCTTTCTTTTATTTTCTATTTAAATGAATGTTGATTAGAGCATGGGTCGGATCCCAAACTCATATGTGCATCCGAATGGTAATATAGGTTTCAATGCAGATTCGGACCCAATACATTTTTGTAGAGGTGTAAATCGGGTCGGGCTGTGCATGGCTGGCACGGCATGAAGGCTCACGGGCTGTGCCAGGCCCGGCATAGAGGTCTATTCCGTGCTGGGCTGGGGGTTCGAGGCCCATAGGCTGGCACGGCATGGCATGCTGAGCTATCCGTGGGCCCGTTGCGGGCCATACTCGGCCCGCCCAGAATATAGCTGTTGTCCCCCCAAAGGGGCAACAGCTAGTTTCAGCTTTTGGGGGGGGTTATAGAAATACCCCCCAACAACTATAAACAACCATATTAGGGAGGTATTTGTGTATTTTGCTTATGGGGTTGAGAAAATGACATAAATGCCCCCCTAACAACTATATAACAACTAGCTTATAAGGCTTTTTGGGTAAAGTAATAACTTTACAATGACCAAAATATCCCTCCCAATAACTAAATAACAAATAGTTTTTTGGGTATTTTGGGCAATTGAATTATGTTCAATTCCTATAAATAGCTCTATCCTCCACCATTCTCATCACACCAATTCAACAATTCTCTTAATCTCTTCTCTCTACTTCTCTCACTCACTCACTCTCTCTCTCTCTCTCTCCCATACTCATACATTCTCAATTCTCTACAATGTAAGTAACTCTGATTAGCTGATTGTCTGATTCTACATTCTCCAATTCTCAAGTCTCAACTTTATTGAAGTTTCGACTTTCAACAAGAAGAAAGCTTGCTCAACTAGCTCAAGTATCTCAATTTGGGAGGCTTGGATGTTGAAAGGCTTCAACCGTTGGAATCAAGTTGGGATTTTGAACCGGCAATCCGAGTAAGTCAAATTAGATTAATTTTATCTGTTTAGAATTAAAAAAAAATGGCCGGCTCTTCTGAAAACCGATTCCCCAACATGTTCACCATTGATGATATTCAATCGCATCATGATAGTGTTAGCACTGATCCGATTGATGTCGATGGAAGTGGAACTTTCACCCCCAGTACTGATACTAGGGGAAAAAGGAGGGCCTCTAAGTTGAGTAGCCTGGTTTGGAAAATTTTTAAGTAGAGGATATTGAGAGGAAGGGGAAAATGGTCGTTTGTCAAAAATGTAGGAAGAACTTTAGTTATTGTAACAAGGGTGGTACGGGTCATTTGAGCAGACATCTGCTCATACATGAGAAAGAAGAAGATGAAGGGAGAG